TTCTTGATAGATTATATGATTAATTAAAACAAAAACGGAGAGTCATATTGCTGTACGTTAGTAGAGGAACATTGCTTTAGCGTTCACCAAAATGGCTGATCACTGAAGCGTAAAATTAGGTCAGTTGACCATCAAACGTTGCGGGTTCTTAACTCATCGTTTAAGTACGCCGAGCACAAAGGCAGCGTCATGTTCTTCCTTTAAAACCGACCGCGTTAACCTGGCTAATCGTAAAACTCACTTTACCAGAGTAATTGTTCAAACGGTTACTCGTAATTACGTAATTCCTTGCCGCAGCTTATACACTATATTATCGTAATATCTCCCAGATATCACAATAACGATTAATATCGAGCATATTTCCTCTGATAAATTTTCATTAAACGTAAGTGATTTAAAGAAAATTAAATTCTGAGATTATAATCAGAAGTTCGGATTCACGCTTGAATACTGCCACACGACGCAATTCTCATTTCAAATTTGCGTTTGGGAAATTTCAAATTGTAAAAGGGGAGCGTAACCATGTAGGCAACTTAAAAGACAGCGACAATAAAGCGATCACCAAAAAAAGATACGCTTGAAAAAACGGTGGACAGTCACAGGAAAACGGATTGAAATTTCTTTTACCGTTCCAGCGTTACAAACGCTGCGCGTACTCTTTTGCAAGTTACTAATTAAACCGCTTGATTAAAGCATCAGAATCGATTGTACGGATAAAATAACATTTAACGAGAATTCTTTTACTTCATTATAAACCGATATGCGTTTAATAAATCAAACACAATTCTCTTCTATATTTTTACCAATAATGTTCTTATATTTCATCTGACACTATGGGAACAGGCTGTTGAACTCCAAGTTTGGAATTAAATGCAACAACTCTTAAGTAGAAACTCTAGGACTTTATTAGTCGGTGTAGCTGTGCATGCAAGCACGTACTTCGAAAATCTGCCTGATTATACAATGTTGATTGTCTATATAACTAGTCGGTATGAGAAATCGAGGTTCAATGACCAAAACAGGATAGGAATACTAAGGCGAGGATGAATAGGCAGGGACATAGGTCAGGATGAGTAAGGATGTGTTTTGTTAGATAGATTTAGAGTGTTTGTGTCGCTGACAATGAGTTAACTGTGTCAATAGTTCATACAACAAGATCATGAATATAAGGAAATAGAGAAAGGCACGTCCGTATTTAAAGGTTCTTAATTAAAGGTTATTTTGAAACGTAGACAAAAGTCAAAGAACGTGAAAAATCTACTGACAGGAACATGACTTCACTACCCTAGTTCATTAATTGTTATCTAAACGCAGTTTAGACAGGAGAAGAAATATATCGGTAATCTTCATGAGATTCTCGTTTGTCAGATGTCACTCGAATGACGCCCGGCACGAGACAAGGGCGAAGGGAACGATCGGAAATTCGAACGTTTTATTAATCCATCCGAGTCTTGTCGCACGCTTGGTAATATCGAACCGAGTAATCGACTTATTGTCAATTGCCCTCTGTCTTTCGACGGTGAGTCGGTAGGAAAAATTGATTCTCCTCGCGCGACACGCTCGTGCTCGCACGATTTCTCGGTTGTCGCTTCTATGCTTTCACAGAGTTGTGCCTGATATCGTGACGAAAGCTGCGAGAAAGTACCCGACTCCGCATTTATGCAAGAATAAATAGAGTCAATATGAAGAATTAAAATTATCCTTTGTCGATCTCATTCTAAAAATAACCGAATCTTGGTTTAAGAACATGCCGGGATTAATCTAATTAATCAACACTATGTTTCTTACTGACTCATCCTGTAAAATACGTCTGTCGTAATATTTACAAGATTACATTATGTGCGGCTATAAAATCCTGAAGATTTACCTGCCGACTGTAAATTATAGATGCACCTGTGAATAAACGCACGAAGCCTGTTGTAATCCTGAAATCCCGTGGGTGGCCATTCCGGCACAATACGTAAAACGGTCTAGAATTCCTGTTCTCGCACGCACTCGATCTTTGTCGATGTCTGCGTGAGAGAAACAGGTTACCGTTGGGTTTATAGGCGGGACGCGACGCTGTGAGCGAGTTTACACGGTGGATATCTATGTATGTTTTCGCGCGGATTCCGCCGGTAGTCGTTGATGGTGGCAAAGTAATAAGAAGCGGCTTAGCCGACAGATTGCCTGCTCGTCCCCGCGGCGCGTAATAGAGGCTTCTTTTCCTAACCCGACACGGCTTCCTCCGATCCTTACCTTCCTCAGAGACCAGAACCGATAAGAGCCACTCTCTTTCTCGCGAGAGTCGCGCCTGATGCTTGCCTATTCGCTACCTTCTCGTTTCTTAGCGAATTGCCGTAAAGATATTTTAACAGCGATCATGCCATGATCCGCTGAATTCTTTACTCTACGGATTGGGCAAATCCGAATCATTCTTTGTAGATTAGATCAGTTCTGTGTATATCCCATAGTAACAATGATAAACAATGAAAAATCGTGCTCGGTCCTATGATGACATTATTTCTTGACACGATCAGTAATTTATTTATTCCATTTACAAAAAGAATTCGAAAAATATGCAATCATTTTGCACGATAATTTGTTAACATTTCCCGTCGGTTCCCATTTATTCGAGACAAAAGCGGATTAAAAAATTAGCGCCTCGACCAGTAGAGCCGATAAATATTCGAGTCCCGGATCAAATGAAAGACGTTGGCTGGTGCCCATTGTCCAATCTACGATCCTTGTTCATTTTCGTTGTTCGGAGTCGTAGTCGCCGTTAGATTTCTCTCGGAAGGGTGGTCCCTCTTTGTTCGGTTCCCGTGGTCCTTTAATAACGGCCGCCGTGATTTATCGACAGCGGTGTTGGAAGAATGGTCCACTGCAGCTCCAGATTCGCAGATAGATGGACACGCTTGGGAACAGGTATAAGTACGTCGACCTCCGGCGATCGATTCCGTCCCGCGTGCCTAAAACGTCCACGGAGACCGTCTCAACGTTTTCATTTTGTCGAATATCCGATCGATTTCAATTTGCAGAAATTTATTACTTGAAGTTAAAACAAGAGCACAATCATCTCCTTCGCAGGTTATCTATAGAATAATCTAAAGGCACTATTTTCTTTTACCTATTATATTGATTTTTTGATAGCAAAATTATATTACTTTCATCTTTAAGCACGAAAACTATCCAAATTTTGTGCCGGTTAACGTTAGAATATATTAAATAGAATATTCGGAATGAGGCACAGTCTCAGTTTTATAACAGATTGCTTATTAATTAATTTATGGTATTTGTGTGGCAGTCGTATGACTGAGGGAGTTACAATAATGTTAATAAAATTATTCATTGTGAATCATGAAGCAATTAACATTTGTTAACGTGACTACATGAAATGATAATCGAGAGTTTGCTACGCGTCAAGGGACAGGGGTCGAGAATTGGGCGCGGACGCGAAGGGAGAGATTGTATCTGCGATACCGCGTGTTCGACACGCTGCGAAACACGTGTACCCGTGCAAGATCGAAGCGCATGCATCAGCATAGGCCATCGTCGTCGGGCATGCGCCTCGCGATTCACGAATCTTACTTTCAATACTTGCCCAATTTTTCGCTCGACGCGAAATTTAATGTTCGAAACATTTCCTCGCCGAAATCTGAATTGTGTTTACAAAAATTCTGTTGCATTAAATGTCGTTCTTTTTTTCAAGCGATTTTTTCATAAGCAATAAGCAAGTATTGTTTATAAGATCCAAGAATGAAATGTACCCACTACTATTAAGATTATATTAAATACGATGGACTTCGTTAATCATTAGTTGTGCAATGTGTACGTGCGATTTTATTACTATATTATTTAATGGAGGTCAAGCATCAATAGTTATGATAATGAAAAGCAGAAGAAGATGGAGTCAGAACGGATTTCAACAATAAGACACTATATCGCATAAGTAATAACGTTTCCCAAATAAAGAGCGATCGGAAGTTGGGCAAACAATAGTCTTAGCAAGATTGAATTTTTAACTTCTCTGAAATGTAGGTCTTTCTTTGTCGGATTCGATGCTCGTAGAAAAGTTGGCCGGCCGGTCGTTGATATTCGAAAATTCGCGCCACCGGAAATTGCGAGGAACGGCAGCGAAAGTTATCCGCGGCAAGGGGCACAATAAGTCGCGGCGGCATCGAATGGGATTGAAACTGGGACAGCGTAATCCCACCCCGAAAATCATTCGCGACCCTCTTGCCATAACAATGGCCGCACTCGGCTTCCGTTTCTCAACACATCATCTATTCTGCACTTACCCGCGATCCTCTCCCGATAAATGGACGCCTCCCTAGACTGTCGCCGCTCCTACGTCCCTTATTATACGGTTTAATTAACGACGTCGAACCTCGCACGCAATCTTGCATGCCTCTTCTTTTTTCTGCATTTCTTCAGTATTAAAAAGCATTTTTTACGTGCAATTCATTTGACTAAAAGACATTTTAAATTGGATTCGACTTAATACATTTTTATATTTGATGCGTATAATACACCATGTAATATACCGTTTCAATTTTTTGAAAATGGTTCACGTTAGATAGAAATTTCTATCATTAGTTAGCTTTCCATTTGTAGAGGATGCAGAATATTGTATCCTGTGAAAAATCTTCGGTTCATCCACGAATCGACTCGCGGGGTCAAGTGGCCTTGTTCTCGGTCTCCAGACTAACAGTATCTCCAATTAAGTGGAGGAGGCGGCTCGCCGGAGTCAATTCGCCGGCCGGAGGGTGGTGGCGCCGTGTTTAGAGGATCGGTGCGGCGCGGTGGAAAAAAGAATGGAAAGGGGTCGGCGGAGGCGTCGATTCGACGGCTCGGTTGGCAACGACGCGTGCCGATCTCCGGCCCTCGGTTCTTACGCCACTGGGATCGATATCCCGGGAGGCCAAACAGTAAACAGCCGGTTGGTCAGGACAGAGTCGGTGGTGGGGCTGCATAACATGGAGGCACCCGCTGCCTACACTATTCTCACTCCACCGCCCTAAACTCGAGGGTGGAAGAAGGCCGCCAGAAGAATGGACTTAACCCTTTGTCGAGATTCTGTAACATATTGAAAAATATAATGTGCAATCTAATGGGTCAGTGCTAAATTTCTTGCCTGATTTGAAATTATGATACTAAGTTTTACATTGTATGATAAAATCTTTTTATGTATTCCTGTTTTCTATTATTTTTTATATACACAGTTAGATTCTTTATTTTTAAATCGAACAGATCATTTGTCTAACTGCTTGGAGAGCAGAAGCACAGTCCAAATGTACGAATAGAGTATTTTTGATTACTTTTCCAACACGTATAACATAACATACCGTAAACTATATCTTTTATAAGAATAAGCATTTTTTAATAGTAAATTAATAATGATTATTATGCGAACTTCTAGTTTAATTGTTTTATTGTCCAAACAATTTCTGATTTGCGAACGAAGTATGGTCACTGTACTCGTATACTCTGAAAAAACGTGTAACCTAGCTTAACCTCTCCTAACGGTGTTGGGAGAACCGGAAACGAGTCGATGCGACGCGACGGTGTCGAAGGAAGAAAGCGGAAAGCCGTTTCGGGATGTATTCCCTTCTGCTCGGTCGTGCGTTGGTCGCGAGGGTTCGTGAAACGGTGGAGAGAGTCCGACAGTGGTGGGGGTGTTCCGTCGTCGAGTGGCAACTGGTAAAGGTTGCCAAGGATGGTTGATCTTCACGTGGGAACATGATCGTCAGAAAGAGACTTCTGCCTTCAAGTTTCTCATCAAAGAGGTACTCTTATATCCCTCGCGGTTCTTTTTTCTCCGCCGTTCGATTAAGCGGATCCTCTAACGTATTTTCAAATGTTCTTCAGTTCAGAAGAATATAAAAATATATTTTAATTGATAAATAATAATGATTTTAGTAGATTGATTGATTCAATTTTAATTATGACACGTTTATATTATGCGTTTTGTAAAAATTAGTGTGAGGAATCCAATGAAGCTAGAAGAAAATAAAGTAGTCGATTTAGTGGAGCGGTAAGACGAGAAGCGAGGATTGTGCGGTATACCAGCGTCAGTTGGAACACGGTCTAGTTAGCAGAGCGTAGTTTTCTGCATGGTTTACACGTGGAATGGACGGTGCAACGGGAAGAGATGATTTAGAAATTTGTTCTACATACTTATGCCGGTGTGAAACCAGAAACCTGACCTCTTGCTCCATTCTAATATCGATGTTTATTTTTCTGTGGCTTACGAGAAACGCATTAAATTGTCCTCTTCAGAATTGATCACAGCAGAATTAGAAACAGAAATTAACACAATTCCTGTCAAAATATATTAGACATTTTATAGTACGTACTTTTTTCCTATGCATAGAAATATGTTAGTCATTTTATATTCAGGTGACAATATGTCTGTCTTTCATCTATCTTTTTATTTTTACATTATGTAACTTTCTTTACATAGATTTTTATTCTATTCCGTTGATTGTTTCTCCGATTCGTACAATTCCCTAATGCTTGTTCCCTTCAGGATTCATGGATTCATTTAACCTTTTGACTCTTATAGCGTGAATTTTATTTTCATGAATTATTTAGAAAATTATTTAATAACAAGTATCGTTCATTAATTATCCAAAAAAAGTAATTTTTTACAAGTAAAATTTATGTCACAACGAACGTTATGTAATATTGATGTGGCAATTGTAATCTAGGAGTTTGTGGGGTCACTGATCACGAATCTGACATCAGAATTTTGTAATTAAAAATGGCAAAAAAGGTATATACATAGTGTATGCATTTCATAAATGTGTCTCTAAAAATTCGTGACTCAAAAGGTTATATTATCGTGACGAGGGTAAATACGAAATTCCTGTCAAATATTCATTAGTATAATTTGTAGATAGTTTTTTCAATATTTTTTTATGCACAGATTTTTATCTCGTTTTCTCTGAGTGTTTATTCTTCCGAGTTGTAAAAAAAAAGCGATTGACGAACGAGAGCGGTCTAAGCGGCGACGCGTAGGCGATCGACTCTGCGTTTTCCTTCGCCCTCTTGAACGTTCGAGGGTTCGAGCTGCTCGGCTTACCTTCACGCACACCCGTTTTCCAATCCCTGTTTTTTCTCTGTGGTAGCTCGAACCTGCCTTTCAGCATCTTCCAGCTCGGTCCTCTCGCGCGTTCTATTTCTATTTTTTTTTCTCTCTTTTCTTCGTCGAGCCCCCTGCAATCGTTCCTACCCTTCCAACGATTTTCCGTGACGGCTTTATTGTGCCTCGCGTGAATTTATCGACTCCAAGCACCTCGCAATTATTTAAACGACGATATTTCTATTAGCACCATTTAATCATAATTTAATAGTTTAATCTAGATTTCCGTAATTCTTTTTCATGTTGCTATTTCTATATATTCTCACTTTGTTTATCACAGTATGTATAAATATACTTATTGGTAGACTGAGGAGTTTCATGCAAGATGAAACTTACTGGACATCAAATTGAAAAATGAAGTTTAGTAAGAATGCTTTTTTAATTTTTTAACATCACTGCATGAACTTTTCTATTTTTGTATATTATATGTATTATATCTATTTTTTTATATTATATTATTTAAACATTGCAATATACAATCGCGCATTCAATTTTAATATACATATTGAATACATTGATCCTCCTGATAAAAAACATATAACAATACGTTCTTGATTCTGAAAGAGCCAGAATGAAATGTCGTCCATCCTACTTTTTCGTTTTCCTATCATGCATGGATATTGTACGTACGATTTCAAACGCAACGGAGATTACCAAAGGATTTTTTCCATGCGAATGCGCAGTTTGTCTTAAGTGTGCACTTTTTTGCGAGATCTATTCGTTCCGTACGTTCGATGATCGGCTTCCCGATCCTCGATCTCTCTGGTGATACTTTCCGGAGCGTGAAAAATGCAGAACGTTTATTTGGCAAGCGAGAATACTCGGATTAATCGCGCTTGTATCGATGCACATTTCTCCATTCTTTGTGTGAATTTATATGTATATTTTCATATTCTTCTATACTTAATAATTAGACCACGGATTTTTTAGCATTTATAAGAAACATAAATATGCTGAATTTGGAACAATGTATTCAGTAGGTAAAGCTAATAACAATTAAACTGAGCCAGTTCGGGTTTGTAATTTTCCATAATTTTCCCTAATATTCTTATATTAACCACTTGCCGTACCTTAGCCTGGAAAGCCTGGTGCACTCTTAGGTCGTTTCTCGTCGCTTTTTATGCTTTTTGTAACTTTGTATATTCTCGTTGAACATGAGATTATAATCACGAGTCTGGTTCGTGATATCCACGTTTGACATGAAATTCTGATCACGAGTTTTATTCGGGATATTCATGTTTGGTACAGAAGTCTGATCACGAGTCAGACTCGTTAAAGTACGGCAAGGGGTCAACACGTGAAACAGAGTATTAAAGAAAAAATTAATAAGTAGTAATTAGTGATACCAAGAAAAAATGGAACACATTTCCTGCCTTAAATCATATTTATAAGGAATAAAAATTGTTATTCTATTATTTTTACATTAGTACTGCGTTTTTCCCATCGCATTTGTAATTCCATAAAAATCCGATCCGTTTAAGATTAAAATACATGCATGATTTTCATTTTGAAAATTTGTATAAAACGTTCGTTTGTTCACCGATATGTATAGGCCAGGAACGATTCCTCGAGATGAGTCGCTCTCGCGAGTTTTTATTACGCTTGTTCCATATTTTCTGCTCACCCCCTTTCGTTCCACCTCTTTCCGTCCCTTTCCTACCCTCTCCGCTTTCGAAATGATCTTCTCACTCTACCGTATATACACTGCCGCTCAAAAGTATGCGAGCACCAACCATTTTTTGTACTGTATTGGAATCTATGTATCTTGTGTTTTAATTATCGCTTTTACTATATGTATAAATAAGATCTTGCAATACCTTTTTGTCAAATAATTTATTAATACATAAGAGAAATGGTATACCCAATTTTAATTCAAGTAATTCCCTTTGATAATCGACAACTTCTCGCTGCCTTCCAGAAAGGAATCCAATCCCTCGTGTGATTAAAGGCTCAGTTTATTTCACGAAGTGCTGGGAAGTTTTATACCTTTATGACAATACAAGGGCGCATTTTGCCACGGGAGAAACAAGTAACTCTTGATCTAGAATGGGAGGACCCACCACACCCAGCCTGATCTCCTGACATCGTACCAACTGATTATCTTTTCCAGTCCATGTAGTCCATGTAGCTTAGAGTTTCGGTCATTCATCTCGCGAATGAAGGGAAACTTAAAATTTGAATAGATTAATATATGATTTCGAAAGAGACAAGCCATTGGTTCCCTGCTTGAGAAATGACAAGAAGTTGTACATTTCAAAGAAAATTACTTTAATTAAAATTGAGTGTACCATTTCTTATATAT